GACAGCAATGCTTTGTTTTGCTGTCCGTTCAGTGCCTGCACCACCAAACCAGGTCTGGTGCAGCGCAACGTGCTCCCACATGATGCCAACCTTGAAGGAAAAAGATACTATCTGGTGAATAGCTGCTCAAGAAAAAAACATCCAAGGTGTTGACAGTGGGGTGCGGGTAGTTGGACAAGATCTCAGCCTGAGGCCTGACGTGCCTTAGTGCACGAGTACATCTAACAGCACTTTGCCATTCGTCATTGGCCACTCCTAGTCCTTTGGGCGTTAGTAACTTCAGGCACCTTGCCGATGGTCCTCTTAACTTGTCAGCATGAAATCCTTCACCAGTGTCCTTTTCTCCCTACGAGTGGCCAAACAGAAATCGTGTGTGTGTGTGTGTGTGTGCCTGGCGGCAACAGTTTGACCACGCTCATAAATCCGTTAATGCGCTTCCTCCGCTGCCGTCCAAAGTGATTGCCAAGGCGCCAGAACATGTCACCGGAGTGGATCTGGAAACAAGGAGTCAAAGAAAAACCACCTCTGTTACAAATGCATTACGCACATTACTCTATATATATATACAGTATCACTATTAGTCACCATATATATACAGTATCACTATTAGTCACCATACGTTCAACAATAGTTTACTTCTGAAGGTATGAGGCCAGAGATTTGCCTAGAAATGGTGTTCGTTCAACACATTCTTTGGCTCAAGACATAGAAATTCAAAAAATGGCCAAGCTCAGGTGCAAAGTTCAAATGAGCAACTGAAAAATTAAGGTTTCCCAAAAATCTAGGAACCAAATGAATAGTGCGAGCGGTATCCTGCGTCCTAGCTAGTAGCTACCTCCTGCTACCACCTCTTAGTGGCTTACCCTCCCTCAAAAGTTGAAGAGAAATACTTGCGTGACGGCCTGAGGTTCTTTTGCTAAAGAGGTCTTGACTGCAAGAAATGAATAAATGCGGTTTCTTGCTACTAGTAGTAAGGTGCCTTACTAGTAGTAACAAGCTACTAGTAGTAAGGCACCTTGCTACTAGCGTCCTTGCTACTAGTAAGGTGCCTTTCATCCACTTTTTCTAACGGAAGAGGTGCCTCCATGGCTGTGAAGAGCCGCCCCAGCTGTCGAAGCTGAACGCCCAACTCTTTGGCCTGGAAAACCAAGGCGTTCAAGAAAACGACACGTCGCTTAGCAAGCACTGTGGCTTTAGCACTTGTTTGTGCCGTTTGACAGGAACTCAACAACATAGCCTGGTTTTTGAATCTTTCACTGGTGCAAAAAATGTGAATGCATCTCTTGCACCATCGTTGTCGTTGAGCGCTTCGCTCAAGTGCGTGTCGGGAATATGTGTGATCATATATCCTAGGCGTATTTGTCTGCGTGTCTGATGGATGCACCACTGAGTGGCGACCACAAGTTTGTATTCAAGCAAATCTGTTTCGGATATTTTCGGATAGCGTCTTGGGGTTCGTGACGGGTTCCTGGTTGGATTTGTGGATGTCCTTTCATGAATTGGTGGATGGATGGATGCCCTTCGCAGCTTCGCATTTAGCAGTTTCAGCAACATACAGTATCTCAAATGAGTGTTGTGCTGGCAGTCTCCGTCGCGAAGCCATGCGGAACAGGGGAATTACATCGCTGCTTGTATTTCTTTTGTTACCAAAAACAAATCAAGAAAGTTAAAATGGTAAAGCCAAGCAAATGCCGAATGGATTTCCAGAACTCCAGCCTCACCACCTCGCTTCATGAGGATGGTGCCATAGCATGCTATGGCATAGTAACCTGATCGAATTCAAACTCCCTTTGTGTAGCAAATGGTCAAGAAAGCTCTAATTCGCCCACATATGCTAGGTTGGAGGCCATCACTTCTAGGTTGGAGGCCATATGCAAAAACACTTAGTTTCCGGCTATTGATGGCCTCACTGACACTCTCTTGATTCCTCAGCGTGAAGGCTTCAAGATCGCACTCCATGTTTGAATAGCTTTCAAGAGAAAAAAAAAGAGTGAACTGAATCAACTGCTTGCATCTTTGCAAGTTTGCATGGCTTTAGACATCGTATGTCTAGTATACTGAAGAGTTGCACTAAATAGCTTTGTTATGCTATGTAGCACTGAAAGGTTGGCGCTTTTGGATCTATTCGTATACCGTACAGACCCCGAGGCCACTGCCGACCAAGCGGTTCGAACTTGATGCCACCGGCCCAAGAGAAGCCCATGAACCAATCCTTGCTTGACTCTGTCTTTTTCTTTTAGGTTGGAGGCCATTGCTGTCAACCTTAAGGCTAGACCGTTTGATGTTTTCTCTAAGTTCGAAGAATGTGTTTTCGAAAAAACGCCTCGTTGCACCTGTACCTGACCAAATGTCCAAACACGGATGCAAAACGCTAGTAGGAGCAAGGACGCTAGTAGGGGCTCCTGGCATCGCTACTAGGAGCAAGGACGCTAGTAGGTTAAACGCCGCGTTCCCTTTCCAAGTCCGAGGGGTTCCTTGTGTCTGGCCAGCGGGAACATCTGATCAGCGCTTGACGGATTGGCATAGTCCCTGGCGGCAAGAGTGGAGATCCAGATTCAAAACATACAAAGAGATATATAAATAGAATGTAAAAATAGAAATGAAAAACGATGTGCTCTTCAAGTTAAGACAAATACATGATCTTCCTATTATTCGAAGAAGGTGCTAAAGATGCATAAAGCATCTTGCAACCCCACTGCTTCCGCGCCTGATCAAGGCCAAGAGCTGAGGCCTCCATTGTTGTTCCCACTCTGGGCGGAATTTCGCCAAGACCTGTGTTGCAAAATGAATAAATGAAAAAGAAACTGTTGAACATGAATATCAAAGAAGAAAATGAGACAAAGGAAATGAAAGACCTTCGGATGCTTCAAAGAATGCTTAATGTTTCCAAAAATGTATTCTTGCTGATAGTCACACGGGTGCTTGCCTTGCAAATCTGAAGCTTTCACTTGCAGTTTGTGTCCTTTGTTCTATTTTCTGGGATGTGCATCACTGTGCAAAGTGTTCCATGTATCCATACATCCACCAACGGCCACAGCTTAGCTCTGTCCCAATCTAAGGAGCACACCGCAGCTGAGTAGATAAAATACCCATAGTGGAAATGGTGATCGTTGTAGAATCCGTTGCCAAAATTGTATCCTGACAAAGAGATGCATTTGCGCACTCAAGATTTGATTCTGATCTTGGGCCCACCTCTTGTGAAGGAGTATGAACAATGATCGATCACAAAGTATCAAGGGACAAAGGACCTCGTTTATTACTGTTCTGACGCACAGTATCATCCCATGCTGCAAAAAAAGTATGTCTGCCCATCGCGCAGGTGGCCTACTTGGTTCAAGGCCGGGCAGGTAGTCGGTTGCGAGATGTCATTGGTGCACCTGAGATCTTGCAGACTGGTTTGCAACCGCTCAAACAGGCAAAGGAGTTCCAGATGGTCTACTAAGGGCGCTACTAGGCGGAGGCCATCGCTATTAGCAAATAGCTACTAGTAGCAATGGGTTTCTCATAGTTCTCTCAACTTTTTGGTCCTCGAGTTTGATTGTAGATCTTCATTGATCACCCGATACCGCTTTACGCATCCGCTTAAGTCTGTCGTTTGCAAAAGAGGCATCCGCTGGGGTGCCCGGCTTTGGGGCACAGGAGCCCCAGCAGTCATCATAGGTGCAACCACAGGACACCAAGCCTAGCATTGGGTGTTTGATGAAAAAGAGAGGAAAGAAAATGTAAAAGGTCCACAAATCTCACCAGTCTCTCAAAAGCAAGACTTCCAGGACCTAGAGGGGTCCAAAGCAGTGTTTTTTGCAGTCTGCTCGTTGCCTGAAGATGGTTCTACACGCCAACTCGTCGCGTTTCAGAAGGCCTCCCCAAGATTTGTCATAGATGAAGGGCGTTGCAGCACCTCAAAAGATCAACAAAAAAACAAGCAAAACAGCACAAGACCCGATGATTGCACTGCTTCGCACTGCTTCGCACTGCTTCCCGTCTGAGGGCGAATCCCTTTCCCAGCCACTTCCCCAGAGTATCTGCTAGCTCAGTGAGCATCCGGTTGACGAAGGCCTCATTTTCGGATGTTGAAGCGAAGGACTTGCTTGCACAAACATACACATGCTCAACTGAGCGACCTAGAAGAACATCTCAAAACAAGCTAGTAGCGATGGCCTCCAACCTACTAGCCGTCTCAGAACAAGCCATCTCTTAAGAAAATACCAAACATCTTTGTCTGGGTTTTGTGCCTCGTTGGACAGACCAAGCTCATCAGCAATGGCCACCAGCCGGGCCTGGAGCGGCATGTCCTAGTCGCGTCCTTGCTCCTAGTAGCGATGCCAGGAGCCCCTAGTAGCGTCCTTGTTACTAGTAGCTGTTCGTGCACCACCAGCTTCTTACAGCCTAATCGCACCAACCACGTCTGGCGTGATTTCTGTGATCCGGACCATTCGGGCGAGAAGCTTCCCGCTGAAGTAGGTGTCACCAACCTAAAGAACATGGAGTTGTCCAACTTCAAAGGAAAGGAAGAAAGTCAACATGCAAAACATAAAAATAAAAAGAGATCAAAGGAAAGAACGCTTATATAATAGAAAAGTGAAAAGAACGTTTCAAAGCCGGGGCCGGACTTAGCCCTTCCACTTGGCTTGCTTGGCTTGCTACTCCTAGCAAAACAACTGTGTTCGACTTTGTTCCCGCGCTCCAAGCTTGACGTTCTGTGGCAGCTCGAACTCACCTGGACGTCATGTGGAGCAAGACATGTACGACAAGTAAGTTGACAATACAAGTAGATACAGTAGATATCTTAAGTAAGTGAATATCTCTTTAAGGCGTGAATGACGTAGTCACAAGTTGCGTTCAAGAAGACATGTAACACGCATGTCTCAGTTATGGCTTGGTTTCACGGTCTCTTCCCTTCGATTTGCGGTCGGCACGGCTCCTTTTTGCGCGTGAAGTTGGAAGAAGCCGTGACAAAACACGTGGTGCCGCGGCGACTTCAAGCGTCGAGGCTTGGCACTTCACATCTCATCATCGAGGGCCATTTCAACCATTTCCGATGGATCAGAGTCTGTTGGCTTCCACGATATGGTCTTCTTGTCATCACCCCACTCAAAGTCAATCCTCAGATAGCTAGGCCAGGCAGCTAGAAGAGACTAAACATGTCCAAAATGTCAGAACCTGAAAAACATCGTTTCAAAGCAGTAAACTTCTGCCATGTTCCTTGTCCAAGTATCTTGTAGAACTGCCCAGGGTCCACGCCATCCTTCTTGCCATCAATGAAGAAGTTCAGGCCTTTCCCCGCATAGTCTGGGCCGACCACCTGCTCGCTGCTGTCGGCCTTCGGCACCAAAGGATGAATGATCTCCTTGTGGTCCTGACGGAAGGCGAGCAGCAAAGGCCTAGTCCCATCACTTGAAAATAAGAAGAATTCGTTTAGGAAAACTTAGCGTCCTTGCTCCTAGTAGCGATGCCCTTTGTTCTAGTAGCGTCCTCTTGCTCCTAGTAGGAAGGCCAGGAGCCCCTAGTAGCGTCCTTGCTCCTACAACCAGCTTTTGACAAAGAAGGTGTTTGTTTTGAAATGCTATAGCTTTACATGTGCGGAGAACGTTATATGTCCTGGGAGCAGCTTAGCTGGAACTCAGCACAGCAACTCTCGTCCACCCGGACCACCACGGAGTATCTTCCATCCCTGCACAAGATTCAACACACAAGAAAGCTGCAAAGAATTGCGTTTTTGCCTTTACCGCTTTACAACGCTTTCTCTTGAAACATGGTCAACGTTCCAATCTTATAAAGCTTGTTGATGGGGATTGCAATGTCAGCGATTGCCAAAAATGATTCAATCAAACATGCAATTGTGTACACATCCTCTCCGAGCCCCAATACTTAAGTTTCCCTAAAAATCCAGGAATCAAATGAATAGTGCGAACGCTTCTTCAAGGAAACTCCCGGCGGCGGGGGTTGTTTCGTCTCCACCAAGCCTTCCACCGTCCATGACTTTGTGGCTCGAAAAATTGTCCCAGGATCCACTGACATAAAGTTTTTGGCCCATGTGCAAAGCCCTCGGCAAGGAGTGCGATGGCAAGTTGGCCTTCACTGCTGCCTTGTGGCCCTGAGAATGTGTGGAGCTGTTGCTCAATGAAGGTTCAGGAATGATACAAGGTTCAAAAATGTCAAACATGCTACATGGATTGAAACCTAGTAGCAAGAAACTACTAGTAACAAGGTGTCTTACTACTAGTAGTTTCTACATGGATTAAAACGATGCCCGCCTTGGAGGCCCATCCGTAGACATCGGCGCGGCTGTTGGTTCCACCGAAGCCGAAGGAACTCACCCCGCAGTACAAACTGCTGAGACCCACGTCGATGTCCTACCAGTAGGGACGCTACTAGGTGGAGGCCATCGCCGTTAGAGAATCACCACGGTTTGCCTGAGCCTTTAAGCAACTCAAAGGTTAACACCGTTAGGAAGAGTTGTGCCACTGTTCAAGGGTGCATGAAATCTGCTTCGTTGATTAGAAGAAAGTACCTTGTCTGGACCACTTCGATCAATAAGTGTCATTCTGTCCATCAACATCTAATTTAATTTACTTAATAAAGCCCTCAACGGTCTTTGGTTGCTCCAGCTTTGTCAGTTTCACTTCAGGGACCGACCTCACACATGGCACCACTGCGGCTGAAACTCCACGCCGAAGACAAGAACTATGGTTGAATTCTAGAACGCGCAAGCTTGTCTTACATGTGAATTGTGGGGGAACCACACAAATCCAGCATGAGGTATCCCAGGTGTTCTCATCCTCGGTGTCAAAGTACACTGGATAGCCCTCAATCGTCAGGTGCGGGTTGATGAGGTTAAAATGGCAATTGGGAGGCGCCGTGCCCATGTTGATCATCATGATGCATTTGGTGAGTCCAGCAATGCCTGCCCACGAGCCGTCTTTCTGAAGGCTAGCTAGCAAACTCGTAAGCAGCGTCCGCTGGTCACCGGACCTTGACAATATACATATACATTATCAAATTGATATTGGCAGCTTCCTCGCCCTTGTTGAGGTCCTCCTCAACCAACACCCACAAAACTGAGTAAAGACCTTCCCAAGATCCAATGTCCACTTTGATGGTGTCCTCGCCAAATCCACGATATCCACTGGCGCCCCCACCCCACCAGACGCAGCACTCCAGCACCTTTTCCTCAGGTGCTCCACATGGCTGTCAAGATCCCTCCACACCGCGCCCACTTCGGGCAATAAAGGCATCGGACGAACGAATGCTCATCGGCGTGAAAGCAACATGCGACCTGGAATTTCGACATACCCAATGTTCAATTATTGGGTCGAACATGTTGCTCAGGTGGTGCACACAAAAAACACTGGGCTGCGATCGACTTACATCCTGTGAGTGTTTCTCGAACCAGCTTCAATGAAAAGCTTCCCAGGCATATCACATCGGTGTATGTCGGGATCTCGGAACTTGCAACGGATGGCTTGGCCTTGGACTTGATCGCTGCCTTGAGGCCCACCTCTGATGTTTTCAGAGAACTCTGGCTTTTCACCGAGTGGTGTTCCTGAGGACTGAGCTTCTCCAGATCTGCCTGATTTTCCTCGAGGTCCTCCATGGTTTTGAGGTTCACACATACTGGATGAACAGCTGGTGTTCGAATTTCCCCACGGTCCACGCCATGTCCTGGTAGGCTTGCCAGAACGGGACTCCGTTCTTCACCTTTCCAAACGCGATCACCTGGCCCTTCAGTTGGTCCAAACTCATCAGCTTCTCAGGGATGCCATGATGTAGGGAAGACTCAGTGAGTGACAGGGTTTGCGATTCTTGAACCTCTGTGCTTTCGAAACAGATTCAATTGACCTCCAGCAAATTGTTGAGACTGGGTTTCGGATCTCTAGCTTCTTCCTTGGAAAAATGCGATTCGATGGTGCACTCCACTGGGTCAGGTGCCTCCTGTTGTTTTTGCACGAATGCTTCAGCTTCGGTTGAGAACGTCTCTCCTGGTGGGTCGACTCTTTCTTCGACTTCGAAAATGCATTAGCCCAAAGTTGGTTGATGTTGATGTCCAATAAAACAGATTCTTGGAAGCTAAGTGTTTACTCCACAATGCTCCTGCTTCGGTGTCGACCACTGCTTTGATTTGTTTGAGAAAGTAGAAACGGCGCGTTGCCATCCACTATAGTGCTATGCGGAACCAGGACTTCTGGAGCGGCAGCATCAAAGTGGTCTTGCTCGGAAGCCTCTGATGGTTTCCGAATCTTAACACGAGGTCGAACCTGGCCTTGGATCTCTTGAGGGAGATTGGACAGCATTTCGGCGACTTGATCTTTGCCAATGATTGTTTGGGATGTATTCTAATTAACTGTTGAAGCAAAAAGGCTCGCTTCACACTCGAAAATTGCGGATTTGGGCTCAAAAGGTTCACGGGCGGCTGGCTGTTCACGAGTCTCCGGTGCTTTGGAGATCCTGCCATTGTCTGTTTTCAGTTGTCGTTTTTGCTGTTCGGACAACTTGATTTGAAACTCTTGATTCGTTTTGACACTAAACCATTTCGTTCGCCCCCTGGAAATCCGAAATCACATCCAAGTCAAAGGCCACGGCTGCTGAGGTCGGAGCAACGAAAGGAGTCTGGTCGCTTGACTCTGCTGTTTGCTTTCGCACCGGACAATCGGCTCGCCAGTGTCCTTTCTGGTTGCAATGCCGACAGTAGGTCTCGGCAATTCGCCGTTTCAGAGATCCTTCGTTCCCCCTTTTCCAAACTTCCCTTTCTCACCTTTTTCCCGCCGCCTTTCGAAGATGAACTGCGTTTGACTCGCCAGAAATTTTGACTCTTTCTTGAAGGCGACGGCGGGCATCCTGGTATGAGGAGTAGTATGCTGCTAGCTCAGGATCATCTTGTATCACTGATTGATTGCTCAAATTGCAATACCAAAGCAGCACCTGTGTCTTCCTGCGACAGCTGTTCCAATGCATCATCGTCTTGAGCATCTTCAAACATAGCCCGGCTCGCTTCGTCTTTCTTCCTGCAATTCATCCGCAGCGAACGCGGTTTGGCCGTAGGTCTTGAGACCTTTCTCTTTGCGACCTGTCGAAAAACGACGATCCCAGGAGTCGAGTCGCCGCCGAAACCTTCTTCATGGTCAAAACACCACCTGTCTCGGCGCCTGATTCGACAAGGACGCGCTTGCTTCCACGAAGAATATTGCGTATACGCCTGGACCTCCTGGAGCTTCACCTGTTTCATCTCCAGTCTGTCCATGCCACATCAGTCTAGCCAGACAGCTGTCAGCAGCTTCGTCACTCTTTTCGAAACATTTGTACAAGGCCTTCTCGACCTATACTTCCTTTCCAAAACCACTTGGCCAAGTTGGCCTGCTACAGTCTCCGGGATTTTCTGAATCCCTGCCTTGTCCCCTCTGAGCACCTCGGACTGGCGAAGCTCGGACTGACGAAGGTCCCGTTTCAAAATGGCGGACCCCTTTGTGTTCAACAAAGTTCTTGTCGCCAACTCCAGGTGCTTTCCTTCCGGCCAGGCCTTCATGAGCAAGGAAGTCTTTTGCTTCCATTGATCAACATTGTCTGTAGCAGGATCAAAAACCGGCACCAACTGTGCCAGCTGACTTGTCACCAATATCAAATTGATATTGGCAGCTTCCTCGCCCTTGTTGAGGTCCTCCTCAACCAACACCCACAAAACTGAGTAAAGATCTTCCCAAGATCCAATGTTTACTTTGATGGTGTCCTCACCAAATCCACGATATCCACTGGTGCCCTCACCCCACCAAACGCAGCACTCCAGCACCTTTTCTTCAGGTGCTCGACATGGCTGTCAAGATCCCTCCACACCGCGCCCACTTCGGGCAATAAAGGCATCGGACGAACGAATGCTCATCGGCGTGAAAGCAACATGTGACCTGGGATTTCGGCAATACATATATCTATATATACATATTTATACACATATCATATATCACATGAGCCTTCCTTGCCATCCCTGCTTAGTTTCCGCGCCTGCACCAGCTTCCAAGTGTGCGATGTTACTCTTAGCACTGGTCTTTAGGATTGGCACCTTCCGCTCATGCATCACCGCCATCAGCGCACCGACCTCAATGGGATCCCCCAGCGCAGTGCCGGTGCCGTGGCACTCGGCAATCGAAACGGTGTTGGGATTGATCCCGGCAAAGCGCATGGACTTCTTGATGACCTGAAATGACCAACAAAACACAGAGCAAATGAAGGAAAAAACAGCATATCATTACATATCCGTTGAACATATCCGTTTCAACACGCCCTTCGAGGCCCTCTTCGCCCCACCTGCTGCTGTGCCGGGCCGTTGGGGGCCGTCAAGCTGGCACTTCTTCCATCTTGGTTCGTGGCCGTTCCAATCAACGCGCAAACCCGGTCCTCTTCGTCCTGTTTGTCTCCTTGGTACATCTTCACAAAAACCGCACCGCAGCCTTCTCCTGAGGCACCAGAGTGTTCCGAATCTTGACCTCTACAGTAGACTTAAAACATCTCCATTGCGTCTCTAGATTCCAAGAACTGGAAAAGCGACTCGTTTGCACAAAGGCGTTTCAAGGCATATCGACCTGCCAAGGCCGGCATCCCCTCCTCGCTGGTATCCATCTGCTGAACGGTTGAAGGTAAAGCTTCTTCCCTGGTGGGAAAGCATTGTAGCCATGCAATTCCCGATGAAACTTCCCGGTCCCAACAGGGTGTTCACACCCACCACCAAGGCCTGCGAGGAAGTCCAAGAAAATCCAAATGTGTTTGGGGTGTTTGGAAGCGGTCGAAGACACGCTCAACTGTTCGAGGTTCTTCTGAAAAGAAGAAACAAAGCAGAAAAAACAATAAAATCCAAAGCTAGGAACCAAATTCGCTCTTAGGTTGGAGGCCTACAGGAAACAAAGAAAATAAAAAAAGGGAAGAAAGGTCTCATATAAAGTCTATCCGTTGAACAGCGGCCAGGAGCCCCTAGTAGCGTCCGATCGCTCCTAGTAGCGAGCTCACATCACGGCCTACCTCCTTCACCATCCAAAAACGCTCCGGACATTGGTCGGGCCTGGCCTCTGCGTTGTCCGGCTTGGGGGGATCCGAGTCAAACATGCAGAGATGCGCTGCATTCATGGCCACCAAGGAAGCAGAGCAAGCGGTGTCGTAGGAGGAGACCGGGCCACGGATGTCGAATTGGTGGGCAATCCGTGCAGCCGTGGTGGCACAGCTCATGCTAAGACCCATGGTGGTGGGACAAACATCTGGGCAGAATCTGGCCCATTCAGTCTGGAACGAATGCCAATCAGGACCAACATCTCCAAACCAAAGGCCCATGCGCCGGCCTTTGAGAGTTTTGCTGCTAAATCCGGAGCTAACCAGACATTCATAACCCACCTCCAATGACATCTTCTGCCCTGGAATCATGGATCTTGCCTCGGTCTCATCTATGCCGAAGAAGACGTTGTCAAACTGAGTGATCTGATCTTGACTCACGAAACCACCATGGCAAGTGTATGACTTTCCAGTGGCAATTGCATCTGCTCCCTCCTCATAGTAGGGCTCTGTCTCCCAGCGTGTATAGGGCCACTGGGTACAAGTATCTGTACCGGAGCAAAACCTGAGCGCTGGCTCCGCCGAGCTGAAAGAGCCCATTGTTTCCAAGACTTTACAGGAGACCCTTCTTCTTTTTGAGACCCTTCCTCCTTTTCTTTGTTCTTTGTTTCTTCATTATCTTTGACCTTTTAGCCAAGACAAATAAAAGCTGATGAAATTAGACTCCTCCGCTGCCTAGTTGGAGGAGGATCAATGTGGTGGTTTGGGCCGGTTTGGGAAGGTGACGTGCTGCGGAAGATGATGGAAGACGTTCAAAAGGGCCTTTAGACCTGCCCAGATCGTCATGACTCTTTGGGACACTTTGTGATCTACAACTTGCGGCTTTTACTAGTAGCTTCTAGCTACTAGTAGTAATGCCCTTGTTGCTAGTAGCTGAGTAGCTTAAAAGTTTGCCCACAATGAAAATGCAAAATTCCTGTTGGATGTTTGACATTGCTTGACTCCCCTCCTTGGTATCCCGGATTCCAGCTTCAGAACAAAAAACACTCAAACCAACCCAAGCTAAACTAAACCTTCTATGTTTCCGTTGTTTCCGTTCTTCTCGTCCTGCCACGGGACATGCACCAATACTGCGCCGGAGACCAAGCCTCACCAGGCAGCCGCGTCGTCAATGACATGATGGACGCCTTCGGACCATCTGGAACTTCCGGTCCGGGATTGCAAACGACTTGACCAGAATCGCCCAGCTGGCCCAGATTCACCATCATTTCCTCAAGAAAAACCAACGAATTCTTAAAAAGCGTGTTTCATCGTCTCAATGAGCTTTTCCTAAAAAGGGAATGGGTTCTCTTCATCCATTCAAGCTGCTTTGATGGCTGGAGACTTCCCCGTTTCTTGCATCAGCCAGGTTTGGAGTGCAAGGCTGCGACCCAGGGCTTGGTACGAATAGTCCATGATGTCGTGCCGGAAAATGAGAATCTTGTTCTGTGTGGCAGGGATCTTCATACTCCGCCGTGCGCCGGGCAAGTACGACCCATCCTAGAAGACAACAGAAGGTTGCTTTTAGAAACACTAGGTCAGTCTGAATCACCACCCTATACACTAAGGTATCGAGCACTTAAATTTGTTGATTCATCCAAACTATTCCCGCTGTCCTTGGGATAGAACCAGATCTCTCCTCCCTTGTTTTCAATCATGTGAAGCAAGCCCAACCTTCGCCTTTTCGCGAAGAAAATGTATTCCTGAAGAGGCCCTGACCAACCTGATCCTTCCTCCTGCATCATGTCTCTGACAGACTCAGGAAGGTAGTCTTCCTCTTCGTTCCTGGTCATTGACATCCTCAAAAATGGATTCATGATGTAGCTAAAGGTCACGCCAATGGCCGGCGTCATGGGCGCGATGTCAGTGGCAAGATCCCTAAACAGCAACTGACTCTCTTCAAAGGCCTTGTTGTCGAGCTCCTTTGGGAAACGAAAAACAAAAAAGAAAGTCCATAAACAACTTCACCACGAGATGCCTACGTATCATCTGTCAACGCTACCTTGAATGCCAGGCGCCTCATCCTCTGGATAGCTCAGGCCATCCGGGTTCGACTGTTCCTCCCGGCGCTCTTGGAGCCAAGCAATCTTGTTGTTGGAATCGAAGCCCATGTATCCACTCTCGACCTCCTGCTTCATCCGGAAGAAATACCTCCAGGGGTTGAGAGTTCCGAGATAGCTAGCATAGCTAAAGAAAAGAAAGAGATAGAAATAAGGAAACAAGGAAGTCTCCATTGATCCGTCATGGCAGTCCGCCAGTCGACCGGTCGACCGAGGATCGGGTCCGGAGGAGCTGCGATGACGGGGAGTTCCAAGTGTTCCTAGTAGCGATGCCCTTGTTCCTAGTAGCTTCTTGCTCCGAGTAGTAAGGCCAGGAGCCCCTAGTAGCGTCCTTGCTCCTAGTTGCGATGCCCTTTGCTCCTAGTAGCGAAGTCCAAGACTCCTACCATGCTCTGACTATATAGGTGACCCGAAACAAAACGATATATATATATATATAGTATATGTTCAACTTCGCTGCCCCGAACAATCCGTCGAACTGGACTTCTGGGAGAGTCAAGAAAAGAGGAGAAAAACAAAAAGGAACTGCTAGCTAACACGAATTAAGCTAGTTGCATGCATCCGATCATGCGAAGCAGAAGGTCTTAGGTTCTCTTTTGTACATTCCAACGCGTGCCTCTCTTGTTCCTGTCCACTGTGCCACGCATCGGCTCTCTGCCTCTTTGTCATGAAGGTTTGAATCACGCAATAGCCCTTCTCAGCCAGTGCGCCTACCACACTATCTGCGAAACGCATGGCTTTCCCTGTCCGGCTTCGGTCCAAAGGCCATGCAACGTCAAAGCCACCTAGAGGCAACAAGTGGCTGTGAAAATTGCAAACAAAACAAACAATTTAAAGACATCAAACTAGTAACAAGTGCCACGCTAGTAGTAACAGGTGCCTTACTAGTAGTAACAAGAAGCTATTAGGAACAAGTGCCTTACTACTAGTAGCTAGAAGCTACTAGTAACAATTGAATGGCGGGAAGGACCGAAGCTGGCCATGTCCTCACCTGTGCAAACAAAACAAACAATGGAGCTAAGGTGGCGAAGTTGAACTAGTTCTGTGAACTAAACTCGATGCTTCCCCGGCTTCCCCCCACCTTCTTCGGCTGGTGGCGGAGACCATTGCTGCAAGTTGGCTTCGGGCACCGTGACGACGTGACCTCCGAAGGTCTTCACGACGTAAAGCTCACGATCTTGAAGCCATGACATGCAGGAGCCACAGGAACTGAAGGAAGGCGCCATGGTCTCCTCCTCTTCATCGTCATCGTCCAACTGAACCAGCTCTTCAGTCTCTTTCTGCTCGCCTGGAAAGTAGCTGGTCAAAGCAGCATTTTATGATGCTTCATGTTTCGTTTTTTCACGATAGAAAATCTGGCAAGGTACGCTCATCAAAGACTTTGAGACCCCTGGTGATGCCAACAATCTCCACCAGTTGGCCCACGAGGGTGTCCATCTCAACGCTTCTGAGCGAGTCCCATGCACCAGCCATCGCAAATTCGGACACTCGTACGTTCGTACGAGTGCCAGCTGGTTCTTTGTCTCTACCCAAAAGGGGAGCCGAGCCAAGCCGGCCCTTGAACCAAGATTGACATCACATGCAGAGGTGCATTCGAGAACTCGTGACATCTGATTCTGATCAATAAGCTTGGCAAGTCGAAATTGAAGCACCTAAGGAGCTCACTATCGGATTTGGCACCGTCGTACTTGGAGCCAGCCATATGCCTGGCAATTTCGGCATGGAAAAGAGCCCCACAGTGTGTTTCCGTATCGGCAATTATTTCAACCAAATATTGAACTCTCAACCGTACCCTCCGCCCATTAACACTCAACTGTACAGCTTAAACACGGTTGGTTCTGCTTCAAGACATCCGAGCAAAAGAAATTGGTAAATCTCTCACACTCCACAGATACTCCTCCATAAGCCTTATGATCACTCCCTCTTCCGCACCTCTTCCTCAACACTTCTCTTCCTCCGACTCCCCAAACTGACATGCCAGCAGCACGTGCCGCCCTTCAAGGCCTCCAGGATCATGTCACGCAGCGTGCCAGGGGGGACTGGGTGCCGCCTCGTCAAAGCACAGGTATTCCTGTACCGTAAGTGTGTTTCTTTTCATGTTGTTTCTATTCTTTTCTTTGGACCTTTAGACCTTTCTTTTCTTCCTTTTCCTGTTTCTAATAGCTTCTTGATAGTACTAGTAAGGCACTTGTTACTAGAAGCGATGCACTTGTTCCTAGTAGCTTATTGTTTCTACTCTTTTCTTTGGACCTTTAGACCTTTCTTGTCTAGAGGGCGTCTTTTCCTTTCAGCTCGATAGTCCAATCTAAATTCCTCAGATTCCGCACCCTGCAAACTCGTGCGTGGGATAGAGCGGGTACCGGAGCACCAGGGGACTCCGTGCCACCTGGCCCAAGGCAAAAAACGAAGTCGTTGACTTTTCTGCAAGGAAGAGTAGCTCTAAAAGATGTTTCTTCCAACGAAGCATCTTTGTAGTCTGCTGTTCTTGTCTTTTCAGAAAGCCTTGCTGCTACGATGTCTGCGAGCAGAGCATTTCCACCCACACAAAAAAGAAACGACTGAGCTGCTGAGCTCCGAGCAAAGACTTTGGGTTCTCCGCCTCGGTGGAACTAACTCACTGTGTTCAGCTTGTCACTAGTCTCAACTCTTCCGTTCAGCTTTGGCTTTCTTTCACAATCAAAATTGCAACTCGGAAGCTGATACAGAATCAGCTAAGCTGCGCAAGTCCTTGAAAGGTGTCTTCGGGGCGCTTTCGACTTGACTCTTCTCCTGGCACCACATCTTCGTGGCGCTTCTCAGACGACGCAGAGATGGGAGTGAACACAGACTCTTCCAAGTATATAACTGTCTGTATGATTCTCTGTGTGTGTGTGTGTCACAATCCCAATGGACATTTCCCATACAATGACTAGTTCATATCAGTAGAGTCTCATACAACTTTGACAAACATGCATCATGCTTCATCACATGAAAGCCGGAAAGGTCCTCCTCTGCCATCAAAGATACTTGATGTGGCCAAAGTAGCTGCAGCGCATCACACTGGCCGGGTGGACTATGGTCTGAATTCCACCCGCGAACAGACCAAGTCTCGGAATTCTTGCAGCGCTCCTATAGACCAAGTAGAGAAAGGTTTAGTAAGTCTCTCATACAGGACATATCTAAGTTACCAATCACAAAGGACCATATCTTTTCCACTGTGGTCAAACAGCACAGCTTCTCAGTGACGGCTTTAACCCATCTCGAAGCACTGAAAGACATGTGACAGACATGCAACATGCGTGAGGGAGTGGAGTGGAGTGGAGTTCTTGGAAGCATCCAATCGTCCATCTCAGCTTGGCGCCTCTTCCAGGCCTGGAATGGTCCTCCGATTCCGCCAATCGAAGATCACCTTGCTGAATAGGCTGACTAAAAGCATCATCAAAGCATCCAGTGATTGGATGTCTTTCTTGAACACAAAGATGGTCCATTTCTTTCGTAAAGGAGCAAGGACGCTACTCATTTTTCATGGCACCTTTACGGTTGGCACACTTTGTTCGCTCTGCCTGTGCCACATCCTCCTCTTCATTGGCCGCATAGTCCACACCAGATGTTACCTGCGCATTTCCACCAAATGCTGTGGCTTCGGGTGGACAAAGAGACACTCAGTGCACCCCTTGCTACTAGTAACACGGGCATCGCTAGTAGTAGCAAGGGCATTGCTACTACGA